CCTACCATGAGGAGGAGGTAGGGATATGAGGATGGATGAGGCCAGAGGGAAGGCTGAGGTTCAGGCAGTGACACTGTAGGTGCTGTGTGCACATAACCAGCCAGGGAAGACTTTCTAGAAGATGCAGGACTCGGGAGAAGGGACTGCTGGGGCATACTCAGCTACAAGTGGGCCTTTGGGGAATGACAGGTTGTGCATAGAGGAAGGCTGGGGTCTGGGGGTGTTGACAGGAGAGGTCAGCAGGGAAGATATATGTGAGTGGGGCCTGTCTTTGGAGCAAGAGTGTGTACAAGGGTGTGAAGGGAAGAGAGTACGGCCAAGCCAACGACAGAGCTTGGGGACACCAGGTGTTAGGAATTATGGGGGTGGGTTGGGGGGATGGTCAATAGTACCAGCTGCTGCCAAGAGTCAAGGGAGGTGTCTGCCAGGTACCACTGGGGACTTAGGCAGCTGCTGCTTCATTTTAGAACTTATTGCAGGGCGCTGAGAGCGAGTGGAAGGTGAGAAAGTGTGCTCAGAAAGCGTTGGCATCACTTTCTAGAATCTTGGTGGTGATGGGGAGTAAAGAGGGAGGTGACTGGCTGAGGAAGACCTGATGTTTGAGGGGAGAGGATGTGTTTATGGTGTTTTTAAAATGCTAGGAGACATGTCCTGGGGGTGGGAAGGAAGACCAGCCAAAGGGAGTAGACAAATACACAAGAGGGTGAGATACAGGGCATGGGATTGGGAACCCAGAATGACTCGCCTGTCTGCCCAGCTGGGAGTTTGGAAAAAAGAAGGGCAGTGTGAACAGTGGAGGGTGTTATTGGCCTGCATGTTTCTGTATCTGTTCAGGGGAAGGGGAGACAAGTGTGGGGTCAGAGATGGGAAAATGATGGTTTGGTATGGCTGATGGGAGGAATGACCAGCACACAGACAGGATACCCAGTGGCCCTGAGGACCCCCCTAAGGCTGGAGAGCAGGACTCTGCAGTGACCTTGTTTATTAGGTCATGATTTTCTCAGTGTGGCTCAGGTTCCTGAGTGTGAGAAAAGAGACCAGGCTTGGCTGGGCCAGTGTGGCTCAATGGTTGAGCATCAACCTATAAACCAGGAAGTCACAGTTCGATTCCTGGTCAGGGCACATCCCTGGGTTGTGGGCTCAATCCCCAGTAGGGGGCATGCAGGAGGCAGCAGATCACTGATTCTCTCATAATTGATGTTTCTATCTCTCCCACTCCCTTCCTCTCTGAAATCAATAAAAATATTTTGAGAAAGAGAGAGGAAACAGCGGTTGGTTGTAGAGAGCCAGGGTGGGGTTTTGGCAGGTGGGTGTGGCACGGAATAGAAGGGAAGAGGGGCTGAGACCATCAGCCAGAGAATGAAGTGATTGAGCCCGGATTTTAGAACAGAAGGGTAGCTAGTGTTTGAGATCTTAGCGAAGTTAAAGCCAGGTGTTGGAACCCATGACCCCAGCTCCATCACCACTGTGCAAAGCACGGCTGTCCTTTTAGAAGCATTCTGTGTTCTCCATGTGCATCCAGATATTACAAAAGTCTGAATGTTAAAATGTCATTGTGTCACAGATCTGAACTTGTGTCCTTCTGCCTCACCTCCCCTTAACAAAGAAGAGTTAATTGTATGCTCGGAGGTTGTAAATTGCTTAGTAAACAAGACAAGAATGCTCACAGAGCCTTTAGTTAAGTGGTTCTCAACATGTGAGTCACGACCCCTTTGGGGGTCAAATGACCCTTTCACAGGGGTCGCCTAAGACCATCGGAAAACACATATATAATTACATATTGTTTTTGTGATTAATCACTATGCTTTAATTATGTTCAATTTGTAACAATGAAATAGGGGGTCACCACAACATGAGGAACTGTATTAAAGGGTCGTGGAATTAGGAAGGTTGAGAACCACTGCTTTAGTTGGTCTGTTGCTTTCTAGCTGATGTAAATGTTTGCTATAGAAATATCAGCATTCCCATCTTAAAATGCATTGGACACAGTGTCTTGTCATGGAGGCTGTTGAACTTGCATGCTTTGTGAGACGCCAAAAGAGGGAGGAATAGGTCTGACAGAAGGTGTCCTTCATTCATTCAGCAAACAGTGGAGGATTTACTATGTGCTGGATGCTAGGAATGCAAAGATAAACGGGACCCATCTCTCTGGGGAGATAGAGCTGTGAGTAGTGACAAGCTAACATAGTGATAGGTACGGGGGTCCTGGACAGCTTCTGAAAGGAGGCAGTGGTCTGGCTAGGTCTCATGGGTTGAGTCAGAGAGCAGGCACAAAGACACAGAGGCAAGACGCAATATGGCAAGGAATGCACGAGGACTAGGACACATTAGATCCGTGGGCCTCGATTTCATTGTACTTCTCAGCCAAAAGGAAGAGCTCAGGCTGTCAGGAAAAAGCCAAGAAAAATAGTTTTATGAAGAAAGCATCAGAAAATCAAGATGTTGCCCTAGCTGGTTTGGCTCAATGGATAGAGCATCGGCCTGCGGACTGAAGGGTCCTGGGTTTGATTCTGGTCAAGGGCACATGCCCTGGGTGCGGGCTCAATCCCCAATAGGGGGCGTGCAAGAGGCAGCCAATCAATTATTCTCTCTCATTATTGATGTTTCTATCTCTCTCTACCTCCCCCTTCCTCTCTGAAATAAAAAATATTAATACTTTTTAAAAATTAAGATGTATTATTCCAAGTAAGCAGTGACTGGCTTCCAGTCAGGGCAGACTTTATAGTTGTGTATGAACTGGCATGTTCAGGAATCCCTGTGGTGGCTGGCACCTCCAAGTCTCAGAATTGGGAGGACCTCAAAGGATAAAAGAGAAACTGAGGCCGAAACAGGTTTGGCTCAGTGGATAGAGCGTCAGCCTGCGGACTGAAAGGTCCCAGGTTCGATTCTGGTCAGGGGCATGTACCTGGGTTGCGGGCACTTCCCCAGTGGGGGATGTGCAGGAGGAGGCAGCTGATCGATGTTTCCCTCTCATCGATGTTTCTAACTCTCTATCTCTCTCCCTTCCTCTCTGTAAAAAACCAATAAAATATATTTTTTTAAAAAAGAGAGAGAAACTGAGGACCCAGGAGGAAGCAGGACATGGGCTATGGGTTGGGCCAGCTGGGTGCCACACCCAGCTCTGCCACAGACTAGCTGTTAATCCTGAGAAAGTAACCAGGTTGAGCCTGTGTCCTCAGTTATGAGGTAAAGATGATGAGCAGATAGGCCCCAAAGCAGTGACAAGGTGCTTGGCAGATAGAAAGCGCTGGCAGATAAAGCAGAGAAAAATGAAATAAGTAAGTAAATAAATAAATAAATAAAGCTTGCCTTATACATTTCACCTTTCTTAAAAAAGATTTTAAAATGATTTTTAGAGAGGAAGGGGAGGGAGACAAAAAGAAATATCAATGTGAGAATGAAACATAGATCTGCTGCCTCTTGGCTGCCTTCTACACACCCCCTACCAGAGATGGAGCCTGCAAACCAGGTGTGAGCCCTGACAGGGAAATGGAACCAGAAACCTTTCAGTGCATGGGACGACCCCCAACCAACTGAGCCACACTGGCCAGGGCTTAAACACTTTATCTTAATTTAAAACATTAATAAGTCTGCTGACCAGATTGCAACTTTTTTCCCCATACACCTCATTAATAATGTATTACCTACAATTTCCAATTTTGTTTTTAAAGAGTGGCCCAGCCAGTTTGGCTGCATGGTTGAATGTTGACCTATGAACCAGGAGGTTAAGGTTTGAATCCCTGTCAGGGCACAGGCCTGGGTTGCAGGCTCGATCCCCAGTGGGTGGTGTGCAGAAGGTGGCTAATCAATGGTTCTCTCTCATCACTGATGTTTCTGTCTCTCCCTCTCCTTTCCTTTCTGAAATCAATAAAAATATATTTTTAAAAGAAGAATGAAAACTTACAAGCCATGACAAAGTGATCTGTATACAGAGTCCTTCAAGATTTTAAAACATTATTTATTTTAAATATATTTTTTATAGCTTTCAGAGAGGAAGGGATAGGTAGAGAGGGATAGAAATATCAATGAGAATCATTGATCCACTGCCTCTTGCACGCTCCATACGAGGAATCGGGCCCACAACCCAGGCAAATGCCCTGATCAGGAATTGAACCTTGACCTCCTGGTTCATAGGTCAACCACTGAGCCACATTGGCAAGATCCTTCTAGATTTTTATGATCTTTGTTCCAATCTATAGTTGTCTCCCTATACCTGATTTAATATTTTTTTAAAAATTAGACTCACTTTTATTCATTCAATTTAGCTTTATTAGACAGCCATCACTTTTTTACCATTTTACTAACATGACATTTAATTGAATTAGATTATTATAGTTATGGCCGAAGCCGGTTTGGCTCAGTGGATAGAGCGTCGGCCTGTGGACTGAAAGGTCCCAGGTTCGATTCCGGTCAAGGGCATGTACCTTGGTTGCGGGCACATCCCCAGTAGGGGGTGTGCAGGAGGCAGCTGATCGATGTTTCTCTCTCATCGATGTTTCTAACTCTCTATCTCTCTCCCTTCCTCTCTATAAAAAATCAATAAAATATATTTTAAAAAAAAGATTATTATAGTTATGTGTACAGTGTACAAACATAACTAAATTTTTTTATGCATTTAAAAAAATCTTTTAACATAATTCTTGACTGGCTGCCTCATCTAGTGGGAGCAGAGTCCTGCAGGTACACTAAACCCCAGATGGACTGCAGGCTGCAGACATCACCCAAAAGATTTAGAAAGGAATATAGCAGGTTGGTGACAGGAAGATCCATCTAAGAAAGCATCTATACCAGGGGTCCTCAAACTTTTTAAACAGGGGGCCAGTTCACTGTCCCTCAGACTGTTGGAGGGCTGGATTATAGTTTTTAAAAAAACTATGAACAAATTCCTATGCACACTGCACATATCTTATTTTGAAGTAAAAAAACAAAACAGGAACAAATACAATATTTGTATTTGCATGTGGCCCGCGGGCCGTAGTTTGAGGACCCCTGATCTATGCTATTTATAAATAGAATTATTGATGCTCATTTCAGAACAGCAAGTTGATGTTATAAAATTACTATGTGTTTCGGGGGCAGGCAGATTTTCTTGTTCTGGAAATTTGGGCAGGCCTTGTGTGTGCCTTTGGGTCTGTTTTCTTAGCTATAAAATAGGGATGTCATCCCTGCCTCTCGGGGCAGGAGTGGTGCATGAAATAACCAAGCATCACCCACGGGAGATACACAACAGTTTCTTCTCCCACCATGGAGCTAATTCATGTCAGCTACTCTGGGGAGAATTTGGGGCTGACCTCAGTTTCCTATACTTTCAGAAGTCAGGTTTCTAGCCCTTCTATCGCCACCTCCAATGCCAATCGCCAGCTGATGATGCTGGAAGGGAAGTCGGGACCCTACTTTTCATCTCTGGACTCTAGCATTGAGATCCTGAGGAAGAGGGCCCAGGAGATGATCGAAAACATCAATGAGAGCAGGCAGAAGGACCATGCACTCATGACCAACTTCAGGGACAGCCTCAAGATCAAGGTGACAAGATTTCCCCCCCACACACATACACTGCAAAACCCCAGTGGGTGGGGCAGGGAAAGCCCTTATGTAAAAGGTGAAGGGTAGGAGAATGAACCACTGCGGAGTATGTTATGGTGCCAGGCAATTTGCATTTGGTACCTCATTTTACCCTTCCAACAGCTCTGCAAAGAATGGACCCATTTTATAGATGGGAAAAGTAAGGTTTAGAAATAATTTTTCAGAATGAGACTGAGGTCTAGCTGCATCCACAGCCCAGCCACCTTATTACACACCAGAACTAATGGCTATTGGGAGTAGAGGATTGAGGCATAGTCTGTGTTAACACAACCATTTTTCCTCCAGAAGTCAAATGGCTTTGGTGGCAGAGTAGAGATCCCTCAACATGACCAGGGCTTATGTCTAACAATGTCTGTTATGTTCAGGTACAGTGTTAATGATTATCCCTGATGCTTCTTCAGAATGCACACGGGATCTCAGGAGTAGGACATCTCTTGACAACAGGATGACTTTTCCCCACCTTTTTTGCCCCCTCCCATCTCTACCAGTACACATAGCAAATTAAATAGAGCATAACATAGCAGAAAAAAATATAAAAACATTCCTATGATCCCACCACCCAGAGGCTACTTTGTTGCAGATTTTCTTCTAGTCTGTTATGTACTTTCTTTTTAACCTGGTGGAGCCTATACTGTATACATCATTTTGACATCTTGCTTTAAATTTTTTTTCTTAATATAGGCAATTTTCACTCCTACTCACTGGAGTTGTTTTTTGACCATTTTTAAAAACTATGTTTTTTATTGATTTTAGAGATAAAGGGAGAGGGATAAATAGAAACATTGGCCCTAGCTGGTTTTACTCAGTGGCTAGAGTGTCAGCCCGCGGGACTGAAGGGTCCCAGGTTCAATTCCAGTCAAGGGCATATGCCCATGCTGCAGGCTCGATCCCCTGTAGGGGGCGTGCAGGAGACAGCTGAGCAATAATTCTCTCTCATCATTGATGTTTCTATCTCTTCCTCTCTGAAGTCAATACAAATATAATTTTTAAAAAGAAACATTGATGAAAGAGAAACATCATTGATTGAGCCCGCAACTAGGGCATGTGCCCTGACTGGAATTGAACCAGTGACCTCTTGGTTCATAGGTAGATGCTCAACCACAGAGCCATACAGGCCAGCCTTTTTTTTTTTTTTTACCAATTTTTAATAATAAACTGCAGAAATCTTAGGGAGCCACTTAAAACACACGTCTTATGATGCCTCTGGTTTGATTTTTTCAAAAACATGTCATATTGTTTAAAAGGTTTCAGATCTGACAGAGAAGCTAGAGGAGAGGATGTATCAACTTTATAATCACCACAACAAGATCATTCAGGAAAAGCTTGAAGAGTTCACCCAGAAAATGACAAAGATCGGCCATCTGGAAACAGAGCTCAAACAAGTGTGCCACACTGTGGAGACCGTGTACAAAGACTTCCAAGACCTATGTGGCCAGCCAGAGGTATGACTACACCCATACAGGAGGCTCTGCCTGAGGGGAGTTGTAGGGGCTGAGATGAAAGTAAATGTAACAGAACTGGGTGCTCCTGCCATCTCGCTGTGGCGCCATACTCTCCTGTAAACATGGGGTGTTGGAGCTGAGAAGCCAGCCCACTGTTATTTCCCACTCCTGTGTGGCCAGCTCTGTGATGATAGAAAGGACAAAGTCCCCTCCACCCACAGCCCTGAGCAGTGCCTAACCAGGTTTACTTATTACAGCAGAGGCAAAGATGCAGGCAAGGGCCAGGTCACTGTGGGGGCACAAGAAATTCCCACATGAGTGACTCCCAGCCCCCACTCATGTTCATTTCCCTGTGACTGAAAGGACTACTCGTGTAGTGGTTACAAGTAAATGTGGCCCAACACTAAGGATCAGACACGCAGCTCTTTTTTTATAGTATTACAGATGTCCCCAGTTTTCACCCCCATGGCCCCCCTCCCAGACTCTATTATTCTCCCCCCCACATTCTGCCCCAACGTCAGCATAAGGCACTTATCCCCCAGATGGGAAGGTCAGAGGGTACACAGGAAACTCAGAGGGAGGGTGGTTGCTCCGTCAGACAGCAGATCAGGTCTCACAGAGGTTGCTTCTGTGTCACTCTCTTTCTTTTCCCTGCTTCCTGTCAAGAGAAGCTTCTGTTCCAAGCTAAGTGGGGTCCACTGGATTGAGAAACTTGGTACAGAGTCCGTCTTCTTTATAAAGGAGCACATATGAGTGACTTCAAAAGGGAAATTTTGTAATTTAAAAATCAGTGTCTCTCACCTCCCAACATAAAAATTGGCTCCATCTGCCACCTCCCTGAGTAAGCGCAGAGCACAGCCACTCCCTGGGAAGGGGTTCGGTACCATCCAGGCTCCTGGGTGAAGTGTATTCACTTGCCGGCTGTGAATGCCTGGATCCCTGTGATTGCCCTTCCGAGGATCAAAGCGTGAATGTCATGAGTACCTGGACAAGATAAATACAAAGTCAGTTTGGTGTCTTAACAGCTTACCACGTCCCTTTAAAGTCAATCTTCATTTCCCCTCCCCAGGCTACTACTTTGGAAGAAGAACAAGCCCATAAAGATGGCGAATGCTGACAGCTCCTGAGAGAGTTACCTCTTAGTGACAGCCACCAAGAGAAGGCTCAGAGGCCACCATTCTGGCCACACTGAGGAAATTGTTTTTCACAGTTCTATAATGCATCTTAGAAAAAACAAAACAAAAAGCTTGTGCCAGACCCAAAGGCAGGGAGTCCAGCCACCATCATGGGCCCAGATTTGGTGTCCCCAACATGTGGCAAATTTACCCCCACCCCAGCCCTGCACAGTTCATTAAACATTTGATTTTCAACCCAGCCATGCTTCCTTCCATGGGGGTGGAGAGCTCTGATGGGTTCTGAACATACATCAGACCCTTTCTCATCCACAGGAGGGATGCAAAAGCAAACATCACTTAATGGTTTGCCCAGCTGAGCTGCTCTGTCCTGAGGCTGCCACCTGCCCTTGAGTTTGGGTAACACTTTACATGCCTCAGTGCTCTCATTTGCTCTTCAGCTTCCAGGGTCAGAAGGCAAAGATTACTGTCTCCCTTATATGGAGCAAAATGATGGTTTACTTTCTAAAGTGCACACCTGACCCTTCCCTTCCCTTCATAAAATCATCTGAAGACCCTTTCTTCTTACCCTAAGGGTCATTCCCACCTGTAGGATCCCCCCACCCCTCCCTCTTTTAGTCTGTGGAATGTCCCATCCAGAATAGCACACAGAAGCTATTTCACTGTCTCTGCCTAGGAAGCTCCTACACCTCCAAGGACTCAGTCCCACTTTTTGCACATCTGTTTTCCCATGAGGCATGGGTTCCAGACCCCATTTGCATCACATCCATTTGCCAGCTGGAAACACCACAGTGCAAAGGGTTCTCTTTCTCTTAACATAACATGGAGTGGCCTGTGTGTATTCTCCTTTGCATCACCAGCTCACTAGGCATCATGCCCCACTCTGGGGCTGCCTGAGAAAGCCATCAGAACTCCTGGGAACACCTCCAAGCAACATGAAAGAAAGGTCAGCGAGCACCTCACATCCCAGGTCCCAGTGTGAGCCACTCAGATGAGAAATATAGGGTGGGAGCTGCCTCATGTCATGCTGCCAGTGGTGACAGCTGTCCCTGCCCCTCTTCCCCAGATAGTGAGGCCACTGCAACCATCCCATTCCCTGAAGGATCCAGCCCCACCTTCATAGGTGTTCACGGCCTCCAGGTTCATGGCATGCCGGATCACATGATACTCATCAGAAATCCCATTTCCCCCCAGCATGTCTCGGGCCTGGCGGGCGATGTCCAGGGCCTTCCCACAGTTATTCCTCTTTAGCAGGGAGACCATTTCCGGAGTGGCCCTGGAAGCAACACAGATATGTAACAAGTGTTGATTACAAAGAGCT